ACCTTAAATATAAATCACCAAATCTTGCAGAAATGGTTCCTTAATACTAGTACTGGCTAGTTTGGTGATTTCAAATGGTGCTAGAGCTATAGGCCTGGAAACACAATTCTATGGTGACAGTTACTTTCTATCAGGATTTGGAAGGTATTATTACACTGTCTTTTGGCTTCCGTTATTGCTATTAAAATGTCATTTAACAGTGTAGCTGTCCTTCTAGGAAGGTGGTCTTTTTTTCTCTCCAGCTGCTAGATCTTCTCTTTGTCTTTGAGGCTCGGACATTTTACTAGACATGGATTTCATATTATTTACCCTACTTAGAAGTTGTTGGCCTTCTTGAATTTGTGGATGACTATGATTGACCAATTCTGGAAAATTCTCAGCCATTATCTCTTCAAATTATGCCTCTATCCCATTCTCTCTTCTTTACTGTTGAAATTTCAATTAAAGTATGTTGGAGCTTCTTATTCTATCCTCCTTTTCAACTCTCTTTCATATTATCTACTTCTTTTTCTCTCCTGCGTTTGGGATAATTTATTCCGATGTATAGTTCATTTCACTAATTCTTTCTTCATTTATGTCTAATATGCTGCTAGATCCACTTATTGGGTGTTCAGCAGGTGGCAGAAATGGAAAACTGGGACTGCAGAAATGGAAAACTGGGACTACAGAATTGTAAAACAAAAAAAATCAGCACTGTTAACATTTGAGCTACACCTATAAAAACTATTTATTTATCCATTTGTCACAGTCTCTAACCTGTCAATACGGATCTCCCCAGGAGCAAACCATAACTCAAGGATTCAAGTACACGTAGTTTGCTTGGGGTGAAACACTGGCATGGAATTGGAGAAGTGAAACAGGAAAGGAAGGAAGTTAATAAAGGGTTTATTATCAAGCAAGTTACCATTGTAAGTAACTGAAGCTTAATCCTTCTGAAGAATTCTGGAAGAAGAATGTTTCTCCAACTTCAGAGTGCATTACCTCACCTATTTAAGCATGGATTCCTGGGCCCCACTCCCAGAGATTCTGATTCAGTAGTTTTGGGGTGGATTCTGTGAAAATAAATAAGGGAAATCTCATTTAAAATGGAGTTGGGAAGCCCTGAAAGGGAAGCTTTCACGCACTATCATTTGCCGTACCTTGCAGACCCCAAATAGGGAAAAGCATACCTCACATTCCCCAACAGGAAGAAGCTTACTTTACAAACCCCAGCATGAGGAAGAAAGAATTTCTCTTTGCCCAGCAACAGCATGGCCAATAAGAAACCACCACACACAGCCAATGAGAGTCATTACCACCCTGAGCTCTCACTCTCCTCCAATATACTTTTGTTCAAAACAGCCCCTCCCAGCTTCCTCCTTTCCCCTATAGAAGCAAGCCCCTCTCCTCTGTTCTCCAGACTTGCCTATGGTTAGCCATAGTTTGCATGTCCCAAATTGCAAGTTCTCTGCTCTTCCTGAATAAATTCATTTTGCTGGTAAAATAACCGGCTCTTTTCTTTTTTAAGGTCAACAGTTCTAAGAATTTGCATTTCTAACCAACTCCCAGGCAGTAGTGATGTTAATGTTACAGGTCAGTGGATCACACTTTGAGCAAGCAGTAGTATAGGACACACTTCTGAGGAAGTTATCTTGCCCAAGAGGCAAGGAAACTGGGGTATTTATCCATCAACTCCCATCAGTCATTGTTTGAAAAGACTGCTCTCAAACAGCATTAATTCCCTGGTACTACCTGCCTGAATGCACATGGGCAGAGCAAGTGTCTGCAGCCAAGAGAAACCCCTCAGGAAATGAGTCACAGGTCCTGGCAGTTGGAAATCGGTTTGGCATGTATTGAAATGGAAAGTGCCAAGGAAATGTGAGCAGAGCACCGACAGCATTTGCTACACTACTATGTATAGTGTCATGGGGAAAATAAACACTAACCAAGAAATTACACAAATAAATTACTATTATGATAAGTGCTATAAAAGTAAATTACACAAGACTATCATTAAAGATAGTCTCATATTATTTCAGATGGCAACTTCCTCGAGTGGTTGATGCTGACCAAAATGATGCACTTTTTACAAATCTGTAAAAAACACCAACTCCAGATCAATATCATATACACCTGCCATTACTGAATGTACAGTGTCTTATTTGAAGTCACTGTGATTGACAGTTTACATTACAAATGTGTGCAGAATCACTATTAAGTTTACCATTTGTTTCATTTGGATAAACTTTAGCTAGGATTTACTTTGATAAACCTTAAATAGCAAATATGGAAAGAAAGCTATGTTTATTTACTTCAGTTAATTTTTTTTTATTATATGGTTTCACCAACAGAAAACCTAAACCAGTGCTGAATTTTGAGAAGTATATTATAATCTATTCTATTACATAGGACATTTTTTTTCCTTTTGTAAATCTATACTCACTTTCCTTTCCAAATACATTTATCTCCTTAAAGCACCTAAAGAGTTAGCAACTGCAAAGTTAGGGAACAGTTCACAAAACTACTCTGACTTCAAGGGTTTCCAGAGCACACTCAGATTTGATAATTTGCTGGAAGGACTCACTGAAAGCTTTCAGAACTCACTGAAAGCCGTTATACTCACAGTTATAGTTTATTACAGGGAATGGATATAGATTAAAAACAGCCTAGGTGAGAAACACATAGGACAGAGTTTAGGAAAGTAATAAATGTGGGGCTTCCAGTTGTCCTCTTCTATGGAGTCATGGACAGTGTTACTTTCATGGTATGAATGTGCGAAAACACACAAAGAGTACTGCCAACCAAGGAAGCTTATTCAAGCCTTGGTGTCCAGAGTCTTTACTGGGGCTCCATAACAGTGGCATGGTTGATTGTCCACATGGCTGATATCATTTTCTAGCTCCTTAGGAAGTCAAACTGATACTGCTTGATTCTAAGTACCATCTTAAATCACGTTGTTACTATCTGGCTTGGCCCAAGGTCCTCAGGCAAACAAAGACACTTCTATCGGGCATGATATTCCAAGGGCTTAGCAATTACCTCCCAAAGGCCAAAAGCTAAGGCCAGACTTATTTTTGGACAATTTTAATTCTTTACTACACTGCACCTTATCCTGCTCTCACTGTGTGGTCACTGCACTAAAAAGCCCTGATATTCTTCTTCACTTTACTGAGCTTAACTGCCACATTGTGATACTGATAAAAATATAACTAGGTGTGGACTTTTATAATGAATGTGCTTTCAACACTGCTAGACTTTGATTAGTATTTGGGAAAAAATCAGTTTATTTGATATTTGAAACCAACCCAAGATTCACAGCTCAGTCTTATTCTAATATCACCAGTATAGAGTTCTCTTTTCCATATACAGGCATACCTTGCTTTATCGTGCTTCACTTTCTTGAACTTCACCGATACTGCATTTTTATAAAACCCTCCACCAGCAAAAAGATCACGACTTGCTAAAGGCTCAAATGATGGTTAGCATTTTTTAGCAATAAAATATTTTTTAATTAAGGTATGCACATTGTTTTCTTAGACATAGTGCTACTGCACACTTAATAGACTACAATATAGTGTAAACATAGCTTTTATATGCATTGGGAAACCAAAAAATTAGTGTGAATTGCTTTATTGCAGTATTTGCTTTATTGTGGTGGTCCAGAACCGAATCCAATCTCTCTGAGGTACGCCTGTATCAGTCTTCATTGCTATAATATGTCATACTTTGCAAAATAATGCCCAGGATAATCAATCCATGATGGAATACCTTTCACTTAATATCAGGATGAAAATCTGGCCTTTTGAAAAGCTATCAATGTATATCAGATAGTTATATTTCCCTTTCATGAGATGATTACCATACTTTAAAAAAATTAGGAGCTTATTGTGTTCTCTCTGAGCTAACAAAAATAACTTCCTAAAACTGGCTAAAAGCCTGAAGATTGGTACTGTTTAAACACTAGCTATTGGTGTTTCTAAATCTTTATGCTTCAGACCACCTCTGCAATACAAACTATTGAGTGATATACATGCATGTAAAAATGCAATATCTAATCATTCTTTTCCTTAAAGGCACAGGAACTCCTAACAATTTTATTTTTGGTTCACTGAGATATCAGAATGCCCCCTGCTGTGCACTTTGTAATACAGCCATACAAATGTCTGAGTATGAACATTTAAAATCTTACAAAAAACGGTAGTGCTTAAGTTCAGTGTGCTCCACTTCAGCGGCCAGGGTTCGGTTCCCAGGCATGGAGCTACACCACTCGTCTATCAGTGGCCATGCTGTAGTGGCGGCCCCCATACAAAAAGAGGAAGATTGGCAGCAGATGTTAGCTCAGGGTGAATCCTCCTCAGGAAAAAAAAAAAAGAAAAGAAAAAAATAGAAAAAAAATAAAATAAAATCTTAGAAAAAATAGATGTTATGTTGGAAGCAAAACTTATATTTTATAAATGATAAATCCTGATGAAATTTATGAAAAAAATCTTAGCAATATTAAAATTAGTTAACAGAAATCATTTTTTCCAATGTCAAATAATTCTTTTATAAAAGCATTGAAACATTTTTTAATCTTGAAGAGAAAAACACTTTCCTTTGAATTAATACAAGTACCAATAAAAAATGTTCACCAAACAAAACAGAAAATACATTTTATCTAAAAATTAATGCCAGAAATTTTTACTGAAGGTATAATATTTAATATAAGTAGCTAAGAAAATCTCATAATGAAGTTATAAAACATACTTGATATCATTTAGTATTATTTTCTGCCGTAAAATCTTGCAAGAGAACACTTGCTAAAAGATGCAACTGCACAAAATTTAAAAGTAAATGCAACAAGAAAGCAATCAAACATATTTTTAATCCATAAATAGCAGCATATCAGAACACAATGAATAATCACCATAAGAATGATAGCAAATTTACATATACACTATTTTCTAAAAACTTTAAGATACTAAAGCTATTAAGAAATACCTATGTAAAATTAAATGCATAAACAATATTAAAATGTTTTAAAACAAACCATAAATATATCTTGTGAATACTTTCATTTGTGCTTTGCTGCATTTTCTCATTCCTTATTACATTAATGAAATTCTGAACATTAAGTGAAATGCTAAATCTCAGGCTGAGATTTTAGAATATTAGTTGTTCTTAAGGATTTCCTGCCCTCCAGTGGTATCTGCCTTAATATTTTCACTGCACCTTTCAACATCACAAAGAGAAGACACATCACTTCTACATTTACATTTTGAAATTATATCACACTGTATGGCAGCATCTAATTTTGCTTTCATTACAGGTTCACTCTCAGTTTGTACCCATGCATCACATCTTGCAACTTGTAGAATGCAATTATTACTGGTTTTGTTTTGCACAACGTGTGCTGAATTACACTGCAATGGTGGAAACTGATCTGTATTATTTTTCATTGAGAAGTGGTGAAAATTCTCATTTTGTTCATGAATTTTGGTGTTGTTTTTAATAATCCTATAATGTGGAAGTTTTGCCATCCTTTCTAAATAAAAATTATTAGTTGTTTCTTTGGTTTTGATGGATCTCCTATTTGAATCTTCAATTTGCTGCAATATTTGATCTTCATCTTCAGATAGCTATAAGAAATTTAGTAATTTTGCTGTAAATGATGCTTAAATTTTAAAAAAGCATTCAATCACTTCAAAGCACACATTCTTAAAATTCACATCATAGAAAATTTCAAAATACAGAAGAGACTTTGGCAGGTGGCAAATCAACCCGGACTTTTGATTTTTAAAAATCATGGAGGTCATGGAGTGTGTGTGTGTGTGTGTGTGTGTGTGTGTGTAAGATCAGCCCTGAGCTAACATCTGCCAATCCACCTCTTTTTTTTGCTGAGGAAGACTGGCCCTGGGCTAACATCTGTGCCCATCTTCCTCCACTTTATATGGGATGCCGCCACAGCATGGCTTGCCAAGCAGTGCATCAGTGCATGCCCAGGATCCGAACCGGCGAAACCCAGGCCGCCGCAGCAGAGCGCGCGCACTTAACTGCTTGTGTCACCGGGCCGGCCCCTATGGATTTTTCAAATAGCAAGAAATCATACATACGTACATACATACAAAGGAATAAAGGAATAAAGTAGCATTCAGAGAGGTATGAAAAAAGCCAAGATAGTGTGTTATCACAAAAACAAAGGGAAGAAAATGTTTCAAAAAAGAAAATAATCATTTCTACCAATATTACTAGGAGTTCTTGTGAACTAAAAACTAAAAAGTATCCAATGAATTTGACAACATAGAAGCCACTGGGGTCCTTCTTTAGCAACAGCAGTTTGGATGGCAAGCTAGAAACAAAAGGTAGATGAAATGAACATGGAAGAATTAATGGAGAATTCCAGTAAATGTGATTTATGAGAAATGCAGCATTCCCAATCAGAACACAACATGTCATTCCAATTATTCAGATTACGGTTTTCACTTCATATAAGCCTTAAGACTTTCTTTTTGTATGTACTTTTGGTTGTTTTAGGTTTTCAATTATTTTAAGTGGGTTCTTTTAAAAATCCTCTTAAAAGAAACACAACTTTATCCTATACATACACACGTATCTTGATAAGACTGGCTTTTGTAAATAATAATGAACACATTCATCATCTTTATAAATGTGAATGAATGATGCTAATTTACACTTTAATTTTATATTTCTGTTTACATTCTTCTTACATTTTTAATATTTTTCACATTTTTTGTTTACATTTATTTCCAGTATTTATTGGCTCAACTATCTTTTTCAGAATGTAAAGGTAATCTGTAAGATATACAAATAACTATAAAATAGTATAGCATAAATTAATAAGCAAAAAGGAAAAAAAAGCAGAACTTACCATCTCTGAACTAGAACTGAAACAACTATCTGTTGGCCTTGGAGAGTAACTGGCAGACTGACTACTCTGTGACGAATCAAGATCTGAAAATAAAAGTTTAATTCATGAAGAATGGTATTTATTAATACTCTACAACATATATACATAGGCAGAAAATATCTGCTGGAAAAATAAGTTTAGCTAATATACTACAGAGCATTTTAAAGTGTGCCAAAACTAGTTAAAACTTTAGATACTTGGCATCTTGCATTTCTGACAGAGTATTATGGGTTTATTCTACACTTAAAACTTTTTCATCTACAAGTAAAATAAGGGTATATAACATAAGGGAAGAAAGGAGAACAGAGAAAATTGAATGATTTTTTCCAATGTGTGAACCATTTTTTATGAACAAATAATTTAAATAATTTAAAGTGTCAACCTACAGGAAGGAGGAATAAGGCAAGTTTATTAAGTCCCAAAGTAGTAGATATTTGCTAATCTAGTAAATGAAGCTTTATTGTACAATCAAAACTATATTTAAAAAATCGACTCAGGGGCTGGCCTGGTGGCATAGTAGTTAAGTTTGCATGCTCCGCTTTGGCAGCCCAGGGTTCGCAGGTTTGGATCCTGGGCACAGACTTACACACTGCTCATCAAGCCACAACAGCGTCCCACATACAAAATAGAGGGAGATTGGCACAGATGTTAGCTCAGGGATGATCTTCCTCACCAAAAAAAAAAAAAAAAAAGTCAACTCAAAGCATCCAGTATGATATTCTTTCATTATGTGTTTAATGTGTTCTCTTATGATTTGCAAGTAAAGGTTAAAAATGGGCCTGAGAAGTAGTTCACGACTCCTCACAATGCATAAATACCGTAGATCAACATGGATGTGTATTCACACTAAAGAAGCAACAAAAACAACAAAAAGTACCTACCACTAAATCTAACAAGAGACATGCAGAATCTACTTGAGGAAAACTTTAAAGTGCTTAAAGGTGTTTTAAACAACTATTAAAGATTCAAAATTAGACTGAATTAATAAAAAGACATCTCTTGTTCTTAGGTAGGTCTACTCAACATCATTAGGATGACAATTCACACTAAGTTAATATATACATTTAGCATTTTCCTAATAAAAGTTAAAACTTTCTTTGCAGTTACACAAGTTGATTTTAAAGTTTACAAAAAAATATAATCAAAATTAGCCAGAAGAACTCTTTAAAAAGTGCAAAGAGACGTGTAACTCTTTTAGAAATTAAACATACTATAAAGTAATTACAATAAAAATAGTACGGTATTAGCACATGAAGATTAGGAAAGCCCAGTAAAACAGCAAAGAGAAAGGGAAAAGATGCATTTTAGAGACTTGAATCCATACATATCTCACACCTTAAATCAGAATAAACTCCAAATGGATTAAAGATTTAAATGTAAAAATATAAAATCATACTAACACTAGAAGAAAACATAAGTGAATTTATTTATAACCTGGGAGTGTAGAGTCTTTCTAATTAAATCCAAAAGTATAAAAGAAAATATGAATAAAATTAACTACACAAGAAATATATTAATCCTTTGGCAAAGCAGGAGACACCATAAGCAAAGTCAAAACAAAACAAATCAAAAACCAATAATAAACTAGGAGAAAATATTTTTGACATATCACAAAGACCTAAATCTCTCTAATATATAAAGAGTTCTTAAATATCAAGAAAAAAACACCAAAAACTTAATTCTCAAAAGACATGAATGGAGATTTCAAAGGAAAAGAAAAGCAAATAGCCATTAAACATTTTTAAAAGATGCTCAACTTCACTTATAGAAACACAAGTGCAAACTCAAACTTTTACCTATCTCTCTACCTACTTATCTATTTTTATAAAACTCACAATTCTTAAGTTTGAACACAATCCCTACTGGTGAGGCTGTGGAATAAAAGGCACATTTCTGGTGAGACTGCCAAATGATGCAGCAGGGAATTTGGTAATATCTATCATAATCAATTTTGGCAATAACTATCCAAAAAACCAATGTATCTCCCCTTTGACTTAGCAATCCTACTCCTAGACATTACCCTGAAAATGTACCTTCACAATTAAGAAACATATGCACAAAGTTGTCACCGAGCATCATTTGTAAAAACAACATACTGGAAACAAGCCAAATGTTCACCAACAGGGCACTGACTGAATAAACTATAGTCCATCCACGTAATGGATTACTAGATTGTCATAAGTAAAGGATGAAGAAATGCCTAGTACTAATATGGAGAAATCTAAAAGCAACTTATTAAATAAATGAATCCATTTACTTCATCTATAAAATATCCTATACTACGTTTAGAGTGAGAAAGGCAGGGAACTAAGACTCATGTATATATGTGTGTTTATATATTCTTAGGCTTTATTTTGAAAAAAAAATACACAGTGGAATGATAAACCCTAAACCAACAAAAAAGTCACTCATATAAGGCAGAAGGAAATAGGGCAGACAGGCTAGGGATCAAAACCAGACTAATGGTTTACATTTCAAAAAATTAAATCCAAAAGAAAAAAGTCAACAAAGATTTCTAGGTATCCTAGCAGAGTAGATATCCTAAAAGCATCATTCTATCACAGAATATTTTAAAAGTGCCAGAAACTGTTATTCATAAAAAGACAGTATAGAATAAAAAGACCAGTCAAATATGAAGTATCTGCGACACACAAGCCTACAAGCAATTAGAATCTAGGATATATAAAAGATATATAGGATATATACATATAGATCTAGATATATAAAAGACACATTCCATAAGGAAAGCCAAACTTTGTAAAAGAAATATGGGCAACAGACATGAAAGGCATTTCACAGATAAAACATGGATGGCCAATCAACCTAATTAATAACGGGAAATATAAATTAAAATTACAATGAGACATCAGATTCCAACAATGATAAAAAGCTGACCCAGTGTCAGTGAGACTATGTAACAAGACTCTTACCTCCTGCGAGTGGGGGTTTAAACTGGCACAACCACTTTGGAAAACAACTTTGCATTACCTAGAATAGGTGAAGATGTGCATATCATATGAACTAGCCAATTCTACTCCTAGAACTATATCCTAGAGAAATTTTTTATACATGTATGCCAGGAGAAATGTAAAGAACTGCCCAAGTAGCACTGTTTATCACAGCAAAATATTCAAAATAATCTAAACAACCATTGCCAGAAGATGTATAAATAAATTGTGATACATTCACACAACAGAAGGCTGTATATCAGTAAACAAATAATGAAGTGTACTAGAGTCACCAGTATCAGAGTGGATGAACCTCAAAATATATTACTGGGTAAACAAAGAAAAGCAAGTTGCAGAAAAATATATAGCATTTGTCTCAATCTGTAGAAAGTTCAAAACCAAGCAATGGAAGTCTGTGTGATATCATTAAAAATAATTTCAGGATAGTAGTTACCTCTAGGGGGCAGGATAGGAAATGCAATTGAGAAGATCTTCAAATGTATTGATTATGTATTATTTCTTAAGCTACAAAGTAAGTACAAGGGTATCTGTTTTATTATTATTTGCTAAAATGTACATATGTTACATATACTCATCATGCATAATATATATCATAAAAGATAAAAGTAATTTTAAAGAGTCAATTGCATTACCAGGAAACATTTGCTGGCAAAAATCTAAAAAGAAAACAAGCACTTAAAATTTAATTAATTTCCACTTAAATGTTAGCTTTTTAAAATAATAAAATTCACTTACAGTTATACTGACAGATTTTCTTAGTAGATGTTGGCCTGCCTTTTAAAGAACACGTTCCTCCTTCTTCCATCAGAATCTAGAAGAGAAACAAAATTTAACAACTCCCAAGTATACACAATAATATCCACTTATAGCTCCCTTTTAACCCCACCAATTCATTTTACAGTACTCTTCCTCATATTACTTTAGTTCAACAAAGATGATTTTAAAACCACAAAGAAAAATTTGCCTGTGATGAACAATAAAATGAAACAAAACTAAAATTGATTTAGAAAGAGCAAGCAACAGAATAGACACTTGCTAAGAAATGAATTATGGGGCCGGCCCCATGGCTTAGCCGTTAAGTGTGCGCATTCTGCTACTGGCGGCCCGGGTTCAGATCCCGGGCGCGCACCGATGCACCGCTTCTCCAGCCATGCCGAGGCCACGTCCCACATACAGCAACTAGAAGGATGTGCAACTATGACATACAGCCATCTACTAGGGCTTTGCGGAAAAAAAAAAAGGAGGAGGATTGGCAACAGATGTTAGCTCAGAGCCAGTCTTCCTCAGCGAAAAGAGGAGGATTAGCATGGCTGTCAGCTCAGGGCTGATCTTCCTCACAAAAGAAAAAAAAAAAAGAAATGAATTACTGACAAAAAGGAAAAGCTTCAGGTGATCATAATAAATGCAGTTGAAAAAAGGCAAAGATATTAAAGCAATTGGAGATTTATTCTCTTATTCTCTTTCTAATTTAAGTTGGATGTCAGTTCATTAATTTTACGGTTTTTTAAATAATAAAAGCTCTTAGAGGTATAAATTTTCTATAGAACACATCATTGGGGGCCGGCCCCGTGGCTTAGCAGTTAAGTGCGTGCACTCCGCTGCTGGCGGCCCAGGTTCGGATCCCGGGCGCGCGCCCACGCACTGCTTCTCCGGCCATGCTGAGGCCGCGTCCCACATACAGCAACTAGAAGGATATGCAGCTATGACATACAACTATCTACTGGGGCTTTGGGGGGAAAAATAAATAAATAAAATTATTATTAAAAAAAAAAAGAACACATCATTGGTTGTGGTTTTCATCAATTTCTACCTAATTTGTAATTTATTTTCATTCTCTTCTTTTCTTTTTTCTTTTTTTATTTTTCTTTTTTGTGAGGAAGATCGGCCCTGAGCTAACATCTGCCAATCCTCCTCTTTTTGCTGAGGGAGACTGGCCCTGGGCTAACATACATGACCATCTTCCTCCAATTTATATGGGACGCCGCCACAGCATGGCCTGACAAGTGGTGTGTCGGTGCGCGCCCGGGATCCGAACCGGCGAACCCTGGGCTGCCGCAGTGGAGTACGTGCACCTAACCGCTTGTGCCACCGGGCCAGCCCCCAACTTCTTTTCTTTTTTACACCCAAAGTGTTTCTTAATTTCCAAGAAGATCAGAGAGGTTAAGCATCTTTTTTTGCTGTTGTTTATTTCTAATTTAATGAATTTTTATTAGAGAATGTGGCTATGAGTCTCTCCTTAGATAAACCTCTTAGACTTTCTTTATGGCTTACTATGTGAATTATGTTTGCAAATGTACTAGGGACTTATAGAAAATATATATTCTCTGTTGGTGGGATATATAGTTTTAGATAGACAGATAGGTAGGATAAAGGAGAAACTATCTGGCTGTTCACCAAACCTGTTTCCCTTTTCTTTTAGGCATACAGCTAAAATACATTTCCTACCCTCCCTTGGAGTTGGTCTGGACACGAGATTTAAGTTCTGGTCATGGGCAGAAGCAGTGTACATCACTGCCAGTGCTGGCCCATAAAAATTTTCTCCATAATCCTCCACTTCCTTGCCCTTCTGCTATCTGGTATCAACATACACTACAAACAGGTAAACCAACCAGTTGAAGATAGCAGAGTCCCCACCAGCTTGGAGCCCTGAATAACCTTATGGAGGAAAGCCTCTTCTCTAACCTCACTATTCAATCATTTAAAAAGTCTTGTATGTTCAACTTCTAAAAATTCAAGCCCCAAACCTGCACCAGGAACACACAAGCTGAAAAAGCTATATACACCCCAAGAAAGGCACACACTCCAATATCCACTTTAGACGTGTTGATGGAGGATAACAGACAAAGAAAATGGTCCCAAAGAGAAGAAACTAAATTATTCAAGGAATTTCCCCCATCCTCCAGGATAGTAAGTCTTTCACACAATGTCCGCCCAGCAGGATTTCATAATCAGTATGGATCAGTAACTCTGTATCTCCTCTTCTTCTCTTTTCTGAACGGGCTTTTATTGCATTTATACTGTCCTTGTTCCAATAATATATATTTTCTTTATGTATATCTTTTGCTATCTTTTTATTTTCAACATTTATTATTACGTTCTATATATGTTTCTTGAAAAATATATAGTGATTATTTTTTTCTTCTCAATTTGATATTCTTTGAATCTTGTTAAGGAAAATCAGTCCCTTCATATTTCATACATTAATTACTAAGCAGGTTTCATTCCTTACATTTTACCTTTCCCATTTATGTGAAAGCATTATTCCATTTTTTCCCACCTTGATCAGGTTTCCTGGTGTGACATCCCCACTCTTTTGAATTCTGAAGTTCTTCCATGTGTATCTATTTCTCTAGTGATTACCTTCCCATTTCTAACAATCATATTTAAACCTTATTCCTCTACTACTTTAAAATTAAATAGGTTCCAGTTCAAGATGACGATGTAGGAGGATCCTGAACTCATCTCCTCCCACAGACACACCAAATCTACAGCTACATACAGAACAATTTCCTCTTAAAGAAACCCAAAAACTAGCTGAGAGACTCCTATACATTGGGGGAATGAGAAAAAACCCACAATGAAATGGGTAGGAGAGGCTGAGACACAATCTTACCATTAACCCCACCCTGGGCATGGTGACCCACAATCGGGAGGGAACCCACAACTCTGAGCTTCTCCCTGAGAAGTGAATTGTTTGACCCTCACATTTGGTACTCGAACTTTTAAGACCTGCACCTGAGAAATGAGCCCCCACAACATCAAGCTTTGAGAGCCAACAAGGCTCGTGTCCATGAGACCCACAAGGCTATAGGGAACTCTTTCTCAGTTCCCTTAAGAAACTTGGAAGAGCAGGGCTTGCCCAGGCTCACCATGCTACAACCCAGGGCCTAGAGCAGAGGCAGCTCACTGAAATATCCAGTCTTTCTGTGAAAGATGCCTATTAGTTTATCCTTATAGCCACAACCTGAGGGTCAGGCTTCTAATTAAACACCCATCTATGGGATGACTGCAATCCTCTCCAGAGACCAGGGAGGCCACTGAGTACCATCTTTGCGCTCTCGATGTGTCCCACCCCAGGTCACCAGTGTCTCCAAGAAAGGAGCTTATGCACACATCTAGCACCAGGGCTTTTGTGGCAGCTGCCCAAAGGACACAACCTTTGATAGCCAGGCTCTGGTGGCCAGCAGGGCTTGTGTTCATGGGTTCAACAGCACGGTAGCAAACAAAGAAACAGTTCTTAAATGGCTATCACAGCAAGGCTCAGTGCAGATGGAGCACAGAGAAATGTTTATCTCAAAGTCTTCCCATGAATGAGTTATATATGCATACTTTAAAAGCTGCTGCATGAGGGTCCAGCTTCCAATCAGACTGAATCTAGATGTTGACTGAGATCCTCTCCATTAGGACACTGGCAGGTTTTGGTATACCCCCAAATACTGAGAGCCACTAAAAATAAAGTAGGCTGTTTGGACAATCACAAAGGTTTGAGAGACAACCAAGAGTTAGGGCAGAGTTGAAAGATAAGGTTTATCTCCTACACAAGGCCACTTCTTCAAGATTAGAGGGGTGGCTGTTTTATAGAATGCATAGAAACCAATACAGAGAATCAAGAAAAATGAAGAAATGTAAGAATACATTCCAAATGAAAGAACAAGATAAAGCCTCAGAAAAAGACCTTAATGAAATGGAGATAAGTGATTTACCTGATAAAGAGTTCAAATTAGCAATCATAAAGATGTTCTCCAAGGTCAGGAGAAAAATGCATGAACAAAGTGAGAATTTCAACAAAGAGAATATAATATAGAAAATATAACAAAATACCAAACAGAAATCACAGAGCTGAAGAACACAATAACTCAGCTGAAAAATACAATAGAAGGGTATAACCGAAGACTAGATGAAGCCAAAGAAAGGATCAACAAACTCAAAGACAGGGCAGTGGAATTTATCCAATCAGAGAAGCAAAAAGAAAAAGGAATAAAAAAGAGTGAAGATAGCATAAGGGACTTATGGACAATAACAAGTGGACCAATATTTGCATTATAGGGGTCCCAAAAGAAGAAGAGAGAAAGCGGCAGAAAACTTATCTGAAGAAATTATGGCTGAAAACTTCCCTAACCTGAGGAAGGAAACAGACATCTAGATCCAGGAAGCTCATAGAGTTCCAAATGAGATGAACTCAAAGAGACCCTTACCAAGACACATTATAATTAAGTTATCAAAAGTGAAAGACAAGGAGAGAATCTTAAAAGCAGCAAGAGAAAAACAACTTGTTACATATACAGGAAACCTCATAAGACTATCAGCAGATTTTAAGCAGAAACTTCACAGGCCAGAAGGCACAACATATTCAAAGTACTGGAAGAAAGAAACTGCCAACCAAGAATACCCTACACAGCAAAGCTGTCCTTCAGAATAGAAGGATAGACAAAGAGTTTTCCAGACACGCAAAAGCTAAAAGAGTTTACCACCACTAGACTGGCCTTACAAGAAATGTTAAAGGGACTTCTTTAAGCTAAAACGAAAGAGTGCTAATCAGTAAAAGGAAAACATACAAAATTATAAATCTTACTGGTAAAGGTAAATATATAGTAAAATTCAGAATAATCTAATGTTGTAAAGGTGATGGGTTGATCACTTACAAAGCCAGTATGAAGGTTAAGAGACAAAAGTAGTAAAAATAACAACTACAATAATTTGTTAATAAATACACAAAATACAAAGATGTAAGTTGTGACATCGAAAACATAAAACATGGGAGGGCAGTAAAATTTAGAGCTTTAGAATGCATTCAAACTTAAGTTTTTACAA